AAGCATACCAGTTCCCTGTGTCACGCTCAATTAGCATCCCATGGTGCTAATCCCATTAGAATTGTTGAATTCGTTAATGGGGGAACTAATGGGCATGCTATCAGGGGACATTAATTGGGCATGACACCACTTTTAGTTATAATTATCAAACTACCCCGACAAAATGTGTTTACGAATGCAAAACGCGCAATATTCAGCAATGGCACTTATTGGTGGGGAGAGTTTCTCGGTGGTCTCCTGGACACTAATGTGAAATCATCTTTCATGAATGCTTTCATCATCAGAGCAATAGTCTCAACCCTGCATGCTAGTGCTGCAGTGTGCATAATTAGCATGCTATTGCTATTCCCACCCAATGTCTGCGGGCAACAAGTTAATTGGTCTCAAACACTCTTTTAGCTGAAGTTTTTTGAACAGAAGAACTTGATAGTTCATCCATCAAAATGCACAAATTTCTGTCTAAAGCAGGTAGATATAAAAATTCTGGCCCATACGATAAGTTGTTCATTATTTTTTATGTTATTACTAGGGATGGGTACATCAATAATGCAGTATTGATATATTGATACTCACAAGCTACTTATAGCAGTAAAAAAGTATAAGTTTCCACAAAAAACAACTTATTTGGTATCAATGCCTTTAAAAAATATCAATATTAAAATTACAATAAAATGTGGGTTTCTGCATCACTTTAAAATGTTTTCAGTATTTTGTTTAATGATTGTGCCCAAACACCATTGACATATTTAGCCGAGCTGTGTCAAGTGACTGTGAGAAGCTTGACATGAAGAAAATGGCATAAAATAAACATACTCATTTTATTATTACTTAATCACAATAGGGGATTTTTGTTTTTACACCTATTGGTACAAACATTTTTTATTTTATTGTGTTCATTTTTGCTTTGTAATAAATTTGTTAATAATGGCCAGTATTTATCATGTAGATGTGATGATCTTTTTTCTTTCTTTCTTTCTTTTTTTTAAATACCCATTTAAGAAATTACTAGAATTTGTTTCAGTATTGTTAAAATTGTAACAGAAAGAATCAGTATCATATTGAAGTTTGGTACAGTCAATCCCTAATTAATACCAAAAAATAAATGTCAATATTAAATTTAAATTAAACATTAAAAACTAAAATCAGTCATTGTAAATGCTACAACGTATCACAACACTACAATGTACTGTGCAGTATGAAAAAAGACTACATTTATCAGTGATAATACATTTTTAGAGTCTTTAAACATTGACTGAAAATGTAATCTAAATATAAAACGTGAACATGAGCATGCACTATTAAATATTCAATATCGACTGATATCGTTAAATGAAATCGCTAATGTCAGCCGATAAATAATACGGTACTGATATATAATACATGCCTGATGTAGAGGTTGGGATCTATTACATTTGAAGGTTTGAAGCCTTTTTGTAGCATAAACAAACACAAAGCGATTCATGACCATGATGTACCTGAGGGTCAAAGAGGAAGTATGGACGGCCGTTGCGTATTTGCAGAGCGACATACTCTTCCTGTTCCCCAGGGGAAACCGCAAACAGCAATAGTCCCTCCTCGACGTGTGTCCGGAAACTCAGCTGCAGGCCTAGAGAGACAGTCAATGCATGTTGCATATTAATCGACTGTTTTAATCGACAAAATACTGTACAGAAAACATTATAAAGCATGTCAAAATGCATGAACACAGCAAAAATTACATGTATAAGAATGTAAGAGCAAATGGTGAAGTGTGGAAGTGTGGAAGTGTATGAGTGTGTAATGCCTGTGAGAACAAAACATTGAGTGGTGCCTGGTCCCACAGTGCCTGAGCAGATCTACCCTCTAAAGACTTTATCCTAACCAAAAAAAATAAAAATCCCCTAGAACTGTTCTTAGTAAAACCTTCCGCCATCTTACCTAAAATCAGACATACAAAAACACCTTTGAAGTGATATCCCTCTTCAATATAAGTTCATTAATATGTTGAGGACTGTGACTACAAACCCACTCAAATACAGACTGCTTAGATTAAAAAGATTCCACTTAATCTATCTTTAAATCTCCAGTGGATTGAAGAGGTTGTAAGTCTGGTTGACCTCATGTAGAGCAGCAAGATGTTTCTTCAGGCTTCAGATATATAAAACTGATACAGGGATTATACCATCTGAATACCAACCCTACAGGACTGACTCTATATGCTGGATAGTGTGAGAAACTATATATATATGTACGTGTGTGTATATATATATATATATATATATATATATACGTAAGTGTGTATATATATATATATATATGTATACACGTACGTGTGTGTGTGTATATATATATACGTACGTGTGTGTGTGTACATACATATACATATATATACGTACGTGTGTGTGTATACATACACATATATATATATACACACACGTACGTGTGTGTTTATACATACATATATATATATATATATATATATATATATATATATATATATGTATGTATAAACACACACGTACGTGTGTGTATATATATATATGTGTATGTATACACACACACGTACGTATATATATGTATATGTATGTACACACACACACGTACGTATATATATATACACACACACTGGACGAAATCCTCCAGCGGCTCACCGAGGTTAGCATCCGCCAGCAACAAATAGTTGAGCACCTCGCCACCCGTCAAGGAGAGACGGAACAGGAACTCGCAGCACTGCGTGCCGCCGCCGCTCAACTCGTTCCGCTGCCGGACCCCCGAGGGCAAGCCGCGAAGCTGCTACAC